GCTGAGGGATCACATGATCCATGCAGAACCGAAGCCGCCTGAGTCTATGCGAAGGCGTGAGCAGCGGGCGAGTTTGCCTCAGCGCACGACGTAAGAAACCCTCCTTGATGAGCTGTTGCACGAGATACGAGCTCACGCCTGACCCCTCTTGTACAGCACGCTGGTTCTCACGATCATTCACTGCCACCTCGGCGAGACGCTTGCACAGCTCCCCGCGGTCCTTCTTCTTTCGCCCCCGAGCGTGCTTTCTCGACTTGACTACTGCAGCTACTCGCTCACCCATAGACCTAATGCCCTGCTCCCAAATACGAGAAACAGCACAGCGGTTTAGATCAAAGTAGGCGGCGGTCCGCCCGATATCCCCGTGCCTCAGCACCCCTCCATTGCTGTGAAGAAGCAGCATCTCCCACACAGCTTGGTGCTCTTCGTCGGTCGCTTGTGATCTGCTCATTGCCGCTCCGGTTTGAAACTGGGGGGAGAGGTCCAGCGGGAAGATTGGGCGGGAGATTCAAAATTCAAAAACTTTGCAAGGTATAAATTTTGAACAGGATGTAATTTGATTGGAAATGCTCATTATTTTCCGCACGGAGGTAGTAATGGAGATTTATCGGAAAGATAAGCACAGCAATATATATTATGAACTAATGTACCTTTCGTGCATTTTGGCGGAGCTCTTGCATATCTCAACGACTTATCAAAGTTGGAACAACGACTTAGACACTCGACGAATAACATATTTGAAAGGGTTAGCGACTTCGAGGATGAGTTGTGGGATAGATGGACGGGTTGGGCCCAGATAATAGCGAATGGCGGACACTCGAACCGCCAACGGAAATGGACGAAAGTATCGCACGTCAAGATGGCCTTCAAACGTGTGTCAATTTGTCCGTGAATATGCTTAGTCTCATCCGTGTTTCTATATCGACGAGCTACGATCAGCACTGAGGACTCGCTTTCCTACACTGAGGAGCACTTCTGAAGCTACAATTTGTATAGCGCTCCGGTTCGATCTTCACCTCACGCGTAAGGTGCTTAGCAAACGGGCAAGGGAGGCTGCTCCGGCAGAAATTGCGGTGTACTACAACAAGCTATTTCCGTTTTACGCTGGACCAGAACAGATCGTCTTCCTGGACGAGACAGCAAAAGCCGGTCGTGACTGTATGCGTCGGTACGCGTGGTCGCCGAGGGGTGGTAGAACTGCCATTTAGACGGGGGGAGCGAGTCTCCGTACTGGCAGCAATAGATACGACAGGATTCGTTGCTTGTGAGATGACGAGGGGAACTTTTTCGCGTAGAGAGTTCCACAAGACTTTTAGTGAAAAGATTGCACCAATGTTGAATCGGTGGCCTCTTCCAAGAAGTATCGTGGTTTTTGATAACGCAAAGATACATATGTATCATGAGCTAGAGGAGTTAGTACACTCAACGAGTGCTCTACTCTTCTTTCTTCCTCCGTATTGCCCACAATTAAATCCTATAGAGGTGTCATTCTCTCTTCTGAAGCGGTGGATTATCAACCACGCCAACATGGCATTTCAAACTAACGCCGAAGCCGTATTGGAGGTTGCCTTACGAGAGTGTACTCGCTCTAACGATTCTGTAGGTAAAAAATTGTATCGAAAATGCGGGTATTCGGCTTGAATGTAGTTGATAGTGTCTTGCTTGTGGCTATATTCGACACGTACGCGCGTATATTGTTTTTGCTTCTTCTTCGTGCCCTTAATGGTGGGCAGTGCCATCCTGATTGGGATGTGAACTAGAGAGAAT